AGACTCAAAAACTGGGTGTTTGATTGGGCAGGGCTGGGAATTTATATTTCTAAAAAAGTTCTCAGGTAATTTAGAAACTGCTGGACATGGGCTGATTTTGCTGATATTTATAGTGTATGCAGGGGAGAAGTGAACCTAGAGACTACGTAAAGAGGGTCTAAGAAAAAGAGAAAAATGTTGCCACACAGTTCTCTGCCTGGAAAAATTCCATGAGTATACTACAGGTGACAGCCTCTCACTCCTCCTCCCCTCCAAATCCAGATCAGATTAATAGATTCCTTCATACTCATTGGCATTTGCAGGTTTCAAGGGAAGTAAACTAAGTATAAACCATAATGAAAGGTTTAACCAAAGAATAAAATACTAGATCCTACATTAGAGGACTGACAGGATGCAATCAAAGCACAGAGAAAGCAATAAAACTCAGGGTGGGGAGGAAAACCAACAAACCAGCACGTAAAAGGAGATAAAAACTTTAGACAACAATAAAATAATATGTGTGCTTTTAAAGGTAGAAGAAGAGAGCAGGGATGGAGGTAGCAGTAATGTCAAAAAGAAAAAAATTCATAAACCTACAAAAACTTTGCAGAGATGCTTAAGGCAACATTCTAGAACTGGGATGGACACATGACCAGATGCAGTACATGAACTTAGGTAGCTGAGAAATTAACAGAAGGCATTGAGTATTAACCTCAGAAGCTTAAATTTTACTTTGCTTATTTTAGGGAAAAATTGGTGGGAGAAATCTTCATCTTGTGCATTCCACCTGTATATTTTACTATCTTTCTAAAGCTTTGTAAATGAACACCAACAATATACAACTAAAAATAAATTCCATGGAACAACTGAACTTCAAATATATGATCGAACTTGGTGTTGGGGAGATGGCTCAGCAGCAAAATGATTGTCCTTCAAACATGACACCATGAGTTGGGGTCACAAGCACCCACATTAAAGAAACCAAGCATGGTAGCATGTACTTTTAATTCACAACTGTGAAGTGAATCTCTGGACCTCACTGGTGTCTGGCCAGCCTAGCCTAGCTGAATGGATGAGCCTTATAGGTTCAGTGTAAGTGCCTATCTCAAAAATTAAGTTAGTTGGGGAGGATACCAAACACCTCCATCTAGACTTCACATGCACATACCCACACAAACACCTACATACAATATACATATTTATACACACACACTTTCCTTATCTGTTCCATTTTCTGCAAGTCTCTTTTCTCACTAATCTTTCGATTCAATGTAATTACAAATGAATATAAAAAGGAAATTTTCAGACAACTGAGTTTTTTAAAAAAACAATGTATCTATAAACCCAACTTACAACAGAAACTATGTAAGTAAATTGTTTGACAGGAACAAACCATCTCAGGTTTTATATTCTATCAATAGAAATGTTACAATCCTCAACAGAAGGCAATCCTTTCAGAGTATATGAGGCAGGGGGCAACAATTTCCTCTGAATTCAAACAGTCCCTTTTGGAGAAAGGAGAGGAAGCGAAACCCAGGAAGTGAAGCTGAAATTTGGAAGTTTCATGGGACCGTTCCCCAAGGTTGCACAAGCAGTAAACGATTTACCAGAATGTAGCTCAGTGGAAGAGCAGATGCCTACCAGTCTGCTTCATAGTTTAATTCCCAGCACCACACAGAGATCCTGAGCACAAAGATTCAAAATCAAATCCCAGCTACATAATTCAGTGCCTAAAAAATAAAAATGAAATTAAGTCCATTCTTGGTAAGCTCAGATGTAAGAATGTTGGAGTTTAGAAAATACAAAACTGCCAGACAGTGGTGGCACGTGCCTTTAATCCCAGAACTTAGAGGAGGCATAGGCAGGGGGATCTTCATGAGTTCGAGGCCAGCCTGGTCTACAGAGTTAGTTCCAGGACATCCAGAGTTGTTACACAGAGAAACCCTGTCTTGAAAAACCAAAAACCAACCAAAAAAAAAAAAAAAAAAAACCACAACTATTGTTTTATGACTAAACCTTCAAGAAAGACTAAGTCAGAAAGCAGCATTCTGGTTTACTTTCTAATATCAACTACAGACCTTTTTTGTCCATCCTTGCTCACATGAGGACTCCATGTCCTCCCTGGCCAGCCAGCCTAGCCTACTAGTTCAATTCCAAGCCAGTGAAAAATCCTGTTTTGTAAAAAGAAATGGAAGGTCCATGAAGAACAACATTCAAGGTTGTCCTCTGGGTTCCACATATGCAAGCACACAAACATGGCCATGGGGCCAAAATGGCCTTTATAAAAGATTTCCATGAGCCAGTGAGACAGCTCAGTGGACCATGCCTGGTTCTCGAAGCCAAGCCTGATGAAATGAGTTTAATACCTGGGACCTACACAGGAGAAACCCAACTCCTACTAAATGTCCTCTGACCTCTATATACAGGCCCACACATAACACACAAATAAACAAACTTTTAGAGAGGAAAGGAGGGAGACAGCTCAGTGGGATAAAACACTTGCCATCAAGCATGAGGATCAAAGTTTGATCCCCAGAACCCACATGGTAGAAGGACCAACTCACATGTACACAAAATGAATAAATTAAAAAAAGGGGGGGGGTTCTTAAATAATTTCTACCTGGCCAGATAAGAAAGCACAAAATCTAACAGCGTTATATAACAAAAATTTTAACTACTTCCTAGTGCCAATTTTCTAAGACTACAGTTCTCAGAACAATGTAACTTTAAAAGCCACAAAATTATCATCCATATAACTGTTATGACATTTAAATGTTGACACTCTCTCTTGAGAAGCCCAGACTCACTTCTCTTAGATTTACTAAGCTTGCATACCTCCTTGCCTGCCTGCCAGCCGGCCTTCCCTCTGCCATTCCCTCAAGCCTATTTATTATGCTTGCATGTTTCCCCTCCCTTAATGTCCACATTTAAATCTTTATTAAACTCTTTATAAACTCCAAAGTTATAAGCTTTATATAGCTCCAAAGTTAAAAGAACTTGCTGTGTAATCAAGAAGCCTGGAGTCCAAATCCGAGCATCCTGCAGATACCTGTAACTACAGCTTCAAGGAATCAGACACCCTCTTCTTAGGCACAAAAAAAAAAAAAATTCAAAACTGCCAGTAATTAGGAAACATAAACTTAGAAAATATATGACAAAAAATACAAATCTCTGTCCTTTTTAAATGTGGCTCACAAAAGAGTTAGGACACTGGGTCATGAATCAGGTGGGAGTAGGTAAAAAATCCAGGTTCCTTTTGTACCTTGCCCAGCCAAGTAATATCTCTACGAATCTGTTTCTTTATAAATGTGCCTACTTTATATGGTACTTTTGAATATTAAAGGAGAAATCACTTAGCAAAGAGCCCTGCAACATAGTCCATACTTAATAATTTACCAATTATTATTACATTTTGGAACAAATGTTGAACAGACTAGTAGTTATTTCATATTCTTTTTTAAGTTTCAGGCACAAAGATTAAATTCCTATGACTTAAAGCTGAGACTGAGATATAAAACAAACTACAAAATGTCATTTTGCCAAGCATTTTACAAATGCTAAGTAAAGAAGAACTAGTATTATATAAGTGTAATTGTCATAGAATAACTCAAAGTATCATTACAAAGTCATGGTCTCATTTATTTCTCTAAACACTAAAGGAAAAAACCCACAAAAACAAGGTCAACGGCAGGTATGTAGAATGTTGCTAGACTGCTTTAAGCTCCAATTTAAGAACCAAAATACAACATGAAAGAAAAACTCCTTGTGAAAGATGGCAGAAAATCACACATGATAAAATACCTGTTTCCTAAACACTACAAAAATCAAGACTTCCATGAGATCAAGAATTTCCTCTCTGAAGACTAAGAAGCCTCTAGGAAGTTCTTTCATAGCCAATCAATTTCTAGCAGAACCTCAAAGCAAAACCTATGAAAACCACTCTGCTGGGTGGCTGTTGGGATAATCACTCTTAGGCATCTTCTTTAGATTGGAAAATAAAACCTTACATACACACTAAGATTAACGAGGCCACTCATTCTCAACAGTTTTATTTTCTATCTTATTTAGACATACAGAAACTATTTAAAATACAGAAACTATTTAAAAAGTCAAATTCTGGCAGCCAACAAAATTTCATTAAAAAAATATAAAAACTAATTCAATTTTATCTCATGGCAACAATAAAAAATATGTTAGTACGTAAAGAAAAACTTTCAAATGTTTTATTTTTTAACGCTGGGGAGAAGGCTCAAGTTTGCAATCACAAGGACCTGAGTTCAGATCCTTAGCCACATAAAACCTGGGGCAGTGGTGCACTTTTCTTTCTAACTCCAGCACTTTAGAGGGATAAGAGAAAGACCATAGGAGCCATCCAGTCAAGTCAAAATGACAAGCAAGTTCCAGGTTCAGTGAGAGACTATGACCCAAAACCTAAGGTAGAGACTGGACATAGACCTCTGATCTCCACACAAAGTATAGGAACTTTAGACCTATGTTCATTACATGTATTAACTCAATTACTCATTATAATACTGTAAGGTAGGTGATACAGTCATCAACCTGTCCAGGGTCACACAATCAGTAAATGGTAGCCAGTACCATCTTGACTCAACCTGTCAAATGTTGAAATTGACTACAGCATTCATTTACTAACAATTTTTACTAAGAGCTTATTAGGTACTAGGCACAGTACCTAATAAGGTATTAGGTACTAGGTATCTAAGTACTGGAGATAAAAATCTAATAAATTCTCTAACTTGTAGTTGGGAAGAGTGAGTCAACAAGGCTAATGGAAAAAAATTAACAAATGTAAAACATATCTGATAATAAGTACAATGGAGAACAAACAAAATCAAAAATAAAATTTAAACTTAATTTAAAAGCAAACAAGGTAGTCTAACAACAGGAAGAGAGAGACTTGCTTCTATTTTAGGGACGAGGAGAAGGTTCCCTGAAGTAAAAAACAGCAATGGAAGACAAATAACTGATATCACCCAGAAGAGGTATCCAGTGTTAATTACCTGGGTAGCATCCTGAGGCCAAGGAGTGAAGAGGCACAGCGTTAAGTTGGCAGATGACAAATCATTCAGTATCCTGATGGCAAGATAAGGGACTTACATTCAATTCTGTATTTAACCCAGAACTTTGGGGGGAATTTTTAAGCAAGAAAAGATCAATCCAAGTTCTTTCTCAAAAGATCATTCTGTTACGTGAGGAACAGCAAGCTAAATAAGAACACTAGTGAAGGCACCGATCCCACAATCCAAGGAAGGTAAACAAAATCTTCAGACTTGGATCTTCGTGTGGTTTACAAGTAGATGAGATACTAAAAGAACCTGCAACTTGTCTCTCAAGACTTGAATTATACTCTCATATTGTGCTCAAAAACAATTAAATTAGTAAAATATCCATTAGTATCCACATTAATGTTTCAGCTGGCAGTTATTACAAGAAAGAACAGTACACTGTAGGTCTTTTCTTCATTTTTCAATATTGTTTAACCTATCCTGTGATTTATTTTGGTTTCTGTTTGAGAATAGATCTTACTATGAAGGTCCTAACTGGTGTGGAGCTCACTCTGTAGACCAGGCTGGCCTCAAACTGTCAGAGATCCATCTGCCTCTGTCTCCCTAGTAGTGCTGGGATTAAAGGTGTGTGCCACCACCACCCAGTTTATGCTATGATCTACAATTCCTTACATTCTAACAAAGTAGAAAGGAGTCACACCAACCTTCAGAATCTTCCCTGGTAGACAACAGGTGCCTAAGGTCTCCTGTAATTCTGTTTATGCTTTCTCTCTAGCAGAACAGGCCCTATTTAGGGTACCGCTATAAGAGCATACCACAGGAAACACTGGACTCATAGTTCCATTAAATGCCTTTCATTTAACAACTAATTTACTAGAACTAATAAACTACTACCCAAGCTGAAAAATAGTGTCTTCAAACTAAGAATGAGAAGCTTGTCCAGGGTCATACAACTGGCAAAGACAAAAATTCAAACACCCGTCTAAATGATTTGATTTTTCCACTTCAGAAGTCATTAAAGATTACATGTATAACTTAAGTATAGATAATCTGTAGTCATTGGAACTCATTAACAGTGGCTAGTTGTTGAGAGAATGCTTTTTCTTTTCTTGTTTAGAATCTTGGTTTTCAATTGGTCTTAAGGAAATGGAGGTATGTATTTAAGCACATTAACTTTGAAATTTTTTACTTCTACCTGAAGCAACATAGACATTCTCAAAGTGATTCCCAGGGGCGTTAGTAGTGCATGCCTTTAATCCCAGCACTCAGGAGGCAGAGGCAGGTGGATCTCTGAGTTCCAGGCCAGCCTGGTCTACACAGCAAGTTCCAGGACAGGCTCCAAAGCAATACAGAGAAACCCTGACTCGGAAAAAAACAAGCCCAACAACAAAAAGTGATTCTCATTTTAAAAAGTGAAATAATCTTAAAAGTGATCCCCACATTTATAGTGAACAAATAAGCATTATTTATCATAAAAAAGTAAAGTTTCATGCCAAGATACAAGAATTGGTACAGACTAACCCCAAAGGACCTAAAAGACACAAACGAGAAATCACAGTAATTCAAGAAAAATGACAAATAACTAGCCTAAAGCAGTGAACAAAGTGCATTTTTGTAGACTGTATTGCTGGATGGAGAGCTTAAAGTAAGATTTCGAAGTGTCCAGCACAGGTAATATTGGAAGAGAGGGAGTGGTACTCTAGCAGCACTTGCCTGGGCAAGCCCTGCCAATGTAGGAAAGGTACTACCTTCTGAAAGCCCATCGAAGATAACTTTATGCTGACCTAACGTGCACCCCACAGGAGCAAGGTTATATAGTATGTCTTACTCTACCTAAAGGAGGAACTGACAAGCTCAGAAGTCTAGAGAAGCCCGAGACCAGACAGATATTCTAAGAGTTGTTACATAGCCCTTAATAGTTTACAAATCCTTTTTTTTTATGATGTGTTTCTATGTTTATCTGTATACTATTTCTACTTTTATACATGGCCCGAGAAAAACTGGGGCAAAATTCTAATTAGATGCGTATCACCTGTAATGTTTTTCTAAACAATTAAGGAACGCTACTACCGGAAGGTCGGAGTTTTCCAAAAGGGGGGCGGGGGTCAGGAAAGGAAGAACCTCCACACACAGACAGGTGACCCTCTCCATCCACAGCTCGGCTGCTATTCTAACAGCACATACAAGTGTGAAGGGAGCACCTGTAAAGACACTTGGGGACAGGTGTCCTGGAAACGATAGAGACAAATAAATAAAAAAGGGGGGGGGGAGATGAGTGAGGAAAACACTGCCTCCAGCTGCCTCCTCCGGGATGCCTGAGAGCGAGGGAGAGAAGGCGGCGCACCGGAGCCGAGCAGTGAGCCGAGGCCGGGCCCCGGGCGCCCGTGCCCGTTCTGCAAACGCTGGTGGAGCGAACACTCGAACGCGCGAGTGAATGAATGGCCGGCGACGCGCCGGCGCAGGGAAAGAGTGAGTTGCAGGCCC